TCATCTACCTAAACATGTTATATTGACCATGCTGGTATAACTGCCAATCGATTAGGATTATTAAAGGGGCGGCGTGCTAGCTAAATGGCTAAAGTGATGACTCGTCACACTGAAGACCCGGGTTCGATTCCACAGATTGGTACAACGTGTATGAGGCCCATATATGGTGCCCCCACGCCGTGACATAGCTATATTAATTCTACTGCGGCGTAAAACGTCATACATTTAGTCACTAGACTCGAATCAGCGTGTGTACGGAGAATTACCATTATATTTGATTAATAAGGACTACAAGCGAAGTCTGGCGACCCTTTACTACATATTACCGCGTTTCATGTTTACATTGGTTATTTGCTGGTTCCAGAATGTCCCGTACAGATTCCTTAACGACTACGTTTGCCTTTATTTCATACATCTTCTAAGACTATCTATTCATGCCAGTACTTTATATCTCCGAATAAACGGCCTCTTCCCTAATAAACGGTTTCATCGAAACGAGATTCCCCCGATTTGAACTTATCATTAACTGATATAGTTCTTAAACACGCCATCACAGTACTGTCCAGTAGTCGACCAACGGGTCGATGACCATAATTGATTCTTGTAATGAAGGCTGGAATGTACAGGATGAATAAGATAGAATCGTACATGGCTCATCTGCCCTTGGGCTTCCGTACGAGACGCTTATTAAGCCATCCAAGAAACACGCAATTAAGCGTTGTTCCTTCAGTGACCAAGTTGGTGGGACGCCGAAGCCCTTTGGCCATGGTGGAACGTACCGCGAGGGTTGGGGTGAGAGTTGGTCTCTGTGGAACCTATCAATTTATTCCATGGCTTTTATTGCATCTACGGTGAAATGCTTGGAGGTATTTTTGTGGCTATAAAAGCGCTGGTTACTGTGGTCTGTGGCGTTGTGGTGAGAGGCTACAACGTCAGAACCGTATATCCGGAGCCATTGTGCAAGTGAACAGCGATTGCGATTTTACACACGTCGTAAGAGTACACACGTCATGATTGTACATACGTCATAACTTTCACACGTGACAGCTGTACACACGTCATCACCCTCACATTTGACAACTTTACAATCTTCATAACCCTCCACACGTGAAAACTATACACACGTCCAAACCCTCCACACGCGACAACTGTCAACACATCTTAACCCTCCACACGTGTCAACTGTAAATACGTAATATGCCTCCACATGTGACAACTGTACACACGTCATAACCCTCCACACGTGACAACTGTACACACGTCATAACCCCCCACACGTGACAACTGTACATACGTTATAACCCTCCACATGTGACAACTGTACACACGTCATAACACTCCACACGTGACAACTGTACACACGTCATAACCCTCCACATGTGACAACTGTACATACGTTTTAACCCTCCGCATGTGACAACTGTACACACGTCATAACCATCCATACGAGACAGCTGTACACACTTCCTAACCCTCCACACGTGACAACTGGACATACGTCAAAACCCTCCACACGTGACAGCTGTACGCACGTCATAACCCTACACACGTGACAACTGTGCACACGTCATAACCCTCCACACGTGACAACTGTACACACGTCATAACCCTCCACACGTGACAACTGTACATACGTCATAACCCTCCACAAGTGTCAACTGAAAACACGTCATAACCCTCCACACGTGACAACTGTGCACATGTCATAACCCTCCAACCATGAATACGCCAAAACGTTAAGAATGTACACACGTTTCAACTGTAAAACTTTAAAACTGTACACACGTCACAACTGTACACAGACCCAGCTGTGTACATAAGAAACTGGGGGCAGATTAAAATACTCCAACGATTGATGCAGCTCACACGTACACTCAATGTCGATGGAGTTTACTTCTGATTACAGTATCAAAGACTTACTCGAAATTAAGTTTAAACTGCTGCTGTATTATTCATGGTTCAGTTCCTCATCACGGATTCTCGCTAGTCTGTATTAAGAGCTGTTAACTAGATAGATAATTTAATGTAACCGTATCACAAAAGAAGAAAAGGGTCGTTGTGTATTCTGTTGAAGTTTATTCTTAAAATACCTGTGAAAGAAATTTGCTGATATTTAAAACGAGTGAAATAATTTGTGATGTGATAATAATGTGATGTGATGTGATGTGATGTGATGTGATGTGATGTGATGTGATGCGGGGGACATCAGAAATGGGCTTCACACATTGTACCCATGTGGCGTATCGAACCCGGGTCTAAGGCGTGACGAGCGAACGCTTTAACCCCTAGGCAACCCCTACGTCGAGGTGAGGTGATGAAGTGGTGAGGTGAGGTTTAAGTTGGCTGTGAGGATGAGGATGAGGGTGAGGTGGGGTTTATCGTTGCGTTCAAGATTTATTCATTTATAAAACGAAGTGCATGCACATGTGTGTGTGTTTGCCTGTCCTCGTTCAGTCGGTCATGCACTGTCAGCCAGCTGAGATACCATGCCGCAGTTTTAATAATGGATACAAAAGTACTTTAGAACCCAACCCAACACATTATACCTCCTACTAGCCGCGGCCAGGGATTCGAACCACCGATCGAACAGATACACATTATTATTAACTGGCACGAATCCTAAGCAACAATGTTTTCATTGCAGTCCTACACAAAAGTAATTACAGAAGTCGGAAGCCTAGCTATGAGCCTGCCCCGAGAAAACGCGAGAACAGGCCAACCCAAAGAACGCTGACGTCGGTGTTTCAAGATGGCCGTCCCTTGAGCCTCGTTATGGCTAAATGAAATTGGAATGCATTCAACAACACAGTGAAGCCAGACAATCATTGCATGACGTAGACTCAGACAGATAAAGACCCTTCAACGATCATTTGGACAATTCCAGCTAAAATACCAGCTAAAACTCTCAAATGACCTGCAATTTCCTTTCGGTCAAGTATTCTTCCAAACCACTAAGCTCTCTCAGAGCCAAGTATTCTCGTAGCTGCAGTAACGAATGGTCTATTAATAAACGACAAAACTGCATCCAGCATTTTTGTTCTATTCAGGAAACATGAAAAGAAGTGGACCAGGGAGAGAGAGAGAGAGAGCAGGAGAGATGTTCTAGCCATATCATCTCTGTATATAATCCAGTGGATGATATCGTGCCATTGCTCTTTGGGACCACCAAATCCTTAATTAAATCAGATTTTGTGAGTTTGAAGTTTGCCTCGAAGCCATCATAAATACACTGGGGACCTTCTCTGTCCTGGAAATACAATGGGGAGACAAGCATGGGCACTACTCCTGTTTTTCTGCTGCTGAAATACAATGGTGGGACAAGCATGGGCACTACTCCTGCCGTTCTGCTACTGAAATACAATGGGGAGACAAGCATTGACACTACTCCTGTTGTTCTGCTACTGAAATACAATGGGGAGAGAAGCATTGGCACTACTCCTGTTGTTCTGCTACTGAAATACAATGGGGAGACAAGCATGGGCACTACTCCTGCTGTTCTGCTACTGAAATACAATGGGGAGACAAGCATGGGCACTACTCCTGCTGTTCTGCTACTGAAATACAATGGGGAGACAAGCATTGACACTACTCCTGTTGTTCTGCTACTGAAATACAATGGGGAGACAAGCATGGGCACTACTCCCGCCGTTCTGCTACTGAAATACAATGGGGAGACAAGCATTGGCACTACTCCCGCCGTTCTGCTACTGAAATACAATGGGGAGACAAGCATGGGCACTACTCCCGCCGTTCTGCTGCTGAAATACAATGGGGAGACAAGCATGGGCACTACTCCTGCCGTTCTGCTACTGAAATACAATGGGGAGACAAGCATGGGCACTACTCCCGCCGTTCTGCTGCTGAAATACAATGGGGAGACAAGCATGGGCACTACTCCTGTTGTTCTGCTACTGAAATACAATGGGGAGACAAGCATGGGCACTACTCCAGCCGTTCTGCTGCTGAAATACAATTCGGGAGACAAGCATGGGCACTACTCCTGCTGTTCTGCTACTGAAATACAATGGGGAGACAAGCATGGGCACTACTCCTGCTGTTCTGCTACTGAAATACAATGGTGGGACAAGCATGGGCACTACTCCTGTTGTTGTGCTACTGAAATACAATGGTGGGACAAGCATGGGCACTACTCCTGTTGTTCCGCTACTGAAATACAATGGTGGGACAAGCATGGGCACTACTCCTGCTGTTCTGCTGCTGAAATACAATGGGGAGTCAAGCATGGGCACTACTCCCGCCGTTCTGCTACTGAAATACAATGGGGAGACAAGCATGGGCACTACTCCAGCCGTTCTGCTACTGAAATACAATGGTGGGCCAAGCATGGGCACTACTCCTGCTGTTCTGCTACTGAAATACAATGGGGAGACAAGCATGGGCACTACTCCTGCTGTTCTGCTACTGAAATACAATGGGGAGACAAGCATGGGCACTACTCCTGCTGTTCTGCTACTGACATACAATGGTGGGACAAGCATGGGCACTACTCCTGCTGTTCTGCTGCTGAAATACAATGGTGCGACAAGCATGGGCACTACTCCCGCCGTTATGCTACTGAAATACAATGGGGAGACAAGCATGGGCACTACTCCTGCTGTTCTGCTACTGAAATACAATGGTGAGACAAGAATAGGGCACTGTTATCTTGTCTAATGTTGAAACATCATATGGAGACAAGCAGAGAGCAATGGACCCAGTCTGTTCTGTAAACACTACAGCGAGACAATCCTGGGCACTGGAGATCTAGTGTGCGGCGACATGGGACTTTAAATAAAACCATAAAAACCATAAATATAAATATAACCATAAATATGCATTTACAGATACATATTAACTCTGAATCCCCAGTGGGTTCGAACCTATGGTGGTAATCTACTTGACCATGATGTAACAACGCCCTTCCTGATCAGAAGGTATATGGTTCGATTCCCGACTCCTCTACAGAAGAGTACGAGAGATATTTACAAAACATAGGGTACCTTTGTCTGGCACTTCATTGTCTCCAAGGTCACGGGTAGGTCGACGCACTCCACTCTGCCAGGCATTATCTAGAAGCAAACAAGGAGTTGTAAAGATACAAATTCGGCAGAAGCAAGCACATGCTATGAGTGAGTGAGTGAGTTGGGTTTAACGCCGCTTTTAACAGTTTTCCAGTCATATCACGGCGAATCAGCTTAATGTGGGATGAAAGCCCGAAGTGATGCAGGTCTCAGACGTTTACCACTTCAGTGAAACCCACGAGCACGGGTATGGTGCTGACAAACCTAGAAACATAATCGGGGCGAACCGGGATTCGAACCCACAATCATAGGTTTCTGGCGTGCCCAAGGATCGCAACTCTGCACAGCGAATCGCGGCGCCTTAGACGACTGGGCCACCCGTGCCCCCGCACATGCTATGAGAGAGCGAGGGAGTGTGTAGGGTTACTGCCACTTGGAACACTATTTCGGTTATATTCCTTAAGCTTTACGAGGTTGTAGACGTGTGTTTGATGAAACCTGCTTTGATAGGGACTGTGACCCTGGCACGGCTAAGGGATGCAACTCTTCATGGCAAGTTGCGGCCGCTAAGACTATTGAGCCACGAATGTGATTGCTATGAGATAATAAGAACCTTTAGTTTACTATAGTTATAGAAAAGCTGACTGATTTTTTAAACAGACACGGATGTAAGTAGATTGTACTCCTCGAGAACTGAACAAGCCTTTTCAAGTAACGAAAATCAGTACAATGAATTGAAATTGAAATTTGAATATCAAATAAGGCGATAACGACCATCTTCATTTTGTAGATAGCCACAATATAGTGGGAAAATAGTTCTTTGCGTTTCAAGGACGAGGAAAAAATGACCGAAAAATATTTCTCGCTATGTACAACCAGTAAAATTAAGAAAATCAGTATTTTTTAAGTCTCTCTATTTTTAGAGGTATTTTTTCTACAATATTCATTTTACTCTGACATTTTCAGCGCTAATTTCCTATAACACTAAGCTACTGTCAGTTCCTCGCTGCTGCTGACGTAACAACCATCGACTCTGCCGGCCCACTGTGTATATCCCTCAGGATGAGTGTATCAAGACCCATTGCCTCATACCACACGAAGCTGAATTCTGTGTAAGAAGCATCGCCTTAAGATTGAACTAAATTTATTTTTTGGTGACAGACACATACACTGTAAACCCTATTGGGTTTCTAGATTTCCCGACAGAAGGGAATTCATCTTTCTATGTGTTAATCGTATGGGACAGGTGTTGCAAAAGTAAGGGATTGATGACATTAGTTTCGTTTCCTGCTGAGGTTTCGTGTTTTTAAACCACGTAATAAGATTACCGAGGACAGTATTCTGTCTGTGAGATGTTTTTTAATGCTGGGAAGTCCTTCAATCGTGTTAAGAATCACGGCACTGGATAATTGTGATATATTCCATACTAACAGGGGACTGGTGTGTGTTGCTGTGGTAAAAGAAAAGATCATGTCTTGTGTTGCTATGGTGAAAGGGAAGATTATGTCTTGTGTTGCCATGGTGAAAGGGAAGATTATGTCTTGTGTTGCTATGGTGATAGAGCATATCATGTTACGTGTTGCCATGGCGATAGCGATGACCATGTCTTGTTTGGTATTGCAAACAGGTCCATGGCTGGCCCCGTCGTCGAAGGTACCACAATTCGCTGTGTAGAGTTGCGTCCCTTAGGTATGCCAGAAACCAGTGATCGCGTGTTCGAATCCGGTTCGCCCTCCTTATGTTTTGTTTGTTTGTTTGTATGTTTGTTGTTTAACGCCGCACTCAGCAATATTCAACCCATATGACGGCGGTCTGTAAATAATCGAGTCTGAAACCTGACAATCCAGTGATTGACGCCATGAGCACTGGTCAACGCAATTGGGATACGATGACATGAATCAACCAAGTGAGCGAGCCTGACCACCTGATCCGGTTAGTCACCTCTAACGACAAGCAAAGTCGCCTCTTACGACAAGCATGGTCGCCTCTTACGACAAGCATGATCGCCTCTTACGACAAGCATAGTCGCCTCTTACGACAAGCATAGTCGCCTCTTACGACAAGCATGGTCGCCTCTTACGACAAGCGCCTAACGGTAAACGCCTAAGACCCGCATCACTTCAGGGATATATCCCACATCAGGCTGTTCTTAACGCCGTGATTTAATTTTGAAAGACTGGTCAAAACGCCTCAGGGGATAGAGTGGGTTGATCGCAAGGTTCTGTAATCTTCCATAAAAAAACCTACATAAAATCCAAAACAGAAAAGAGGTAACCTAAAAACTCCATTCGCCTCATACTGTCAACGAACAAATGTCATGAAAAAATTGACGTACGCATTCTGGAGCACCATTCCCCTTTGAGATAAGCATTCCTGACGAGGACAACGTGATCGTTACTCCATGGAACCAATCGTGTCTTTAACGAGGCAGTGAAGGAGATGCCAGCATGCCACAATTCATTTCCCCCGCATATCTACATGGGAGGCGAGGTAACACATCTGCATAAGCCTGTCAAGTTAAAGCATTAGAAAAATACATCTCAGAACCCTTGCGGTAAAAACCCCCACAAAAAACGTGGGAAAAGGGGATGTGTTTCCAAGAAAATGTTTCATTATTTTTTCTAAATTGGCAGAAAACTAAATCAAAATCGTAAGCAACCATGGTTTGCGAAAAAACCCAAACAACTCTGTCTTTACACTCCGGACAATTTTAACATTAATATCACCCGGCTCGTCTCTATCAAATATTATGCAGTTAGCGGAATCTGGAATATGTTCGAGGGGACCCAAGTGACATTAATATGAAAGCTACTAAAACACCCCGGAGTTTGTTCAGGGCAATTCCAAAATAAACTGACGTCCAAAAGAAACTTTACCAACTGAAAATATAAATTTCAGTCAAACTATAATTTGTTTTCCGATGAAGTCTATCTAAAACACATAACCTAAATACAACAATAGTGTATGCAGAAAATGTTAATCGTCTGTTACATGTTTGCGAGATAACACGCGAAAAAGTGAAAAACACGTGCACCACGGACAACTGCAAATGCACGTGCCGGTTAGGGTATAAAACGATTGCAACGGCAAGTCAGACATCCACAGTGATAAAAAAACACAAAAGAAATGCCACGACTCACAGTCGAACAACGTGAACGAGCCTTGGGTATGGTACAGATGGGAGCCACCCACGCCCATATTGCACGAACCTTCGGTTGCTCCCGTGTTGCCGTTACCAACTTGATGCAACGTTACAGACAGACAGGGCGGACCGCTGACAGGCCAAGAACAGGCAGACCCAGGGTGACAACGCCCCATGATGACCGGTACTTGCGTACCTTGCACCTCCGAAATCGCTTCCTGACAGTGACGTCATCGGCGACAAATGCCTTAGGTCACAGGGTTAGTAGCCAGAGAGTGGCCAGGAGACTCAGGGCTCATGGAATCAGGGCTTTTAGACCATACAGAGGACAGCTATTGACAGCGCAACATCGTCGCCTGCGATTGAGATGGGCCCGGACTGTATGACGTTGGCAACGACGTGACTGGCAGAGGGTTTTCTTCACTGACGAAAGTCGATTCTGTATGTTTAGGGCTGACGGAAGACAACGTGTTTACCGCCGAAGGGGTGAACGAACGGCGGCGTGTTGCGTGCAGGAGGTCGTACCATATGGTGGAGGGAGTGTCATGGTGTGGGGAGGGATCTGTGGGCAGGAGAGGACACCGCTTGTCATCGTTGACGGAAACTTGACAGCTCAGCGTTACATGGATAACATTCTTCGTCCAGTTGTCCTACCATTTCTCCAGCAGCAGCCACGTGGTGTCATTTATTAGCATGACAACGCTCGAGCCCATACAGCCAGAATTGTCACTAACTTCCTCGCAGCCAACAACGTCAACGCCCTGCCGTGGCTTGATGGATCGTCGTGTTCGACAACTACCACACTCTCCAGCCAACCGGCAAGAACTGATCTTGGCCCTCCAAGAAGAATGGCGTCAAATCCCACGTGACCTCATCAGACGACTGACTTTTTCTGTGCGACGAAGAGTTTTTGCGTGTATTGAGGCATTTGGTGGTCACACACGCTACTAATGACTTGTTATTGAACGTGAGCGATTGTTTATGTACTCTGCCTATTGTCAATGATTCTGAAAGCTCGAGTTTTGTACCACACCCAACTTTGGGGGCCTCTGACGTCATTCTCGGTCGCGGTATGATTGTCATTTTCAGTGTTGATTATGTTGATATATTGATCTTCTCAATACACTTTACTTCATGCATGTATGTTTTGTTGTTTTTGAGCAAGAGTGATTTCAAACTCTGGTAAAGTTTCTTTTGGACGTCAGTTTATATTGATCGTTATGAATAAACATTGTTCACAAGACAAGGTGAGAATGAGTACGTCAGTACGCGACTGAGTGGGTGTGTGGGTGTAAGTGCGTTAGTGAGTGAGTGCGTGAGTTTGGTCTAACGCCGCTTTGCATGGGTGGTACCTCAGTAATAACACGGCGTGTCAGCTTCACTTGGAGTAACACCCATGAAGATCCGGGTTAGAATAGGTCTTCAGCAACCCATGCTTGCTGGAAAAGGTGACTGTGCCTGACGTAAGAGGCGACTAACGGGATAAGGTGGTCAGGCTTGCTGACTTGCTTGATGCATGTCATCGTAAGATATCAAGCTAAGCAGGTCTTAGACGTTCACAACTTTGGTGAAACACACAAACACGGGTTTTGCGCTGACAAATCGAAACATCATCGGGGAATTGGGATTCGAGCCCACGATCATAGGTTTCTGGCACGGCCAAGGGGCGCAACTCTCCACATCTATTTATGTCACCTTATTTATGGCAAAAGTAGTATTAGTAGAGAACAGAAAGTGCCTTAGACGCCATGGCCATCTGTACTCCCCATGTTTTGAATAACCAGCACGATGAGCAGAAACATTTACATGACTTTTCACAACCTTATAATTTAGTTGGACGTCTTCAGAGTAATGTTTACTGGGATATAAGAATGTTTGCCTGTCCAGTTATTCGGTGGATATAATG